TTCTTAATGACTATATCCAGCTTATTTTAGCTCACAAATATCTATACTATATCTAAAGCAGTATATCAAATGGTTCATGATAAATCTGAACTCTCACTTCTACATCCTCATCAAGGATAGGACAAAGAGCTCTCAGGGGCAGGGTTGTAGTCTCTGCTTCAGGAGTTTCTGACACCAGAGTGGTGTTGCTGTCAGCTGTACTGCCTAAACCTGTTAGTGAGAGATGGAAAGGAAAAATAGAAAGAGAAAACAAAAGGCATGTAATCGGAAATGGTAAAGTAAATCATATGCTCTATATTCACTCATTGGGAAATTATATACTTCCTATACTATTTTCAAGTTGGTACCAATGTGGTTTCAAACACATTAACCTAAATCATATCAAACTAGAAAAAAAAAAAAAAAAAAAAAAAAAAAAACAGATAAATAATATTCTAAATAAATATCCTCAATCAACAGCCTCTCTTAAAGCAAACCTCTAGATAACTTACACTCAATGAAATGAATTTCCATTCCAGCCCATTACTTAATTCAAACTCTAGTTAAGAAAAACAGGAAGGTACTCACTCAGACTGCTGAGACTGATGTCTTCACTTCTGTCATCACAGACCGAGTTGGAACGACTGCCAACCCTAGAACTCCCAAAGGACAGGTGATCTGGAAGAGCACTAGGAAAAAAAGATAGGCATTTAGAGCATGAAACTTTACTGATAATGTTTAATTTGTAGATTTTCACCTTGTAGATAACACCTTGAATGAGTTTTTCTTATTCTGTTTTGTATTCCCTGTTTGTATGGCTATTTATGTTTTTAATTAACAACTACTAGTGGATTAACATAAAGTACAGGTGCTAACAAGAAAGAAAAATGTCATTCTCATTACTTATTTTGGTACAGTTCTTCTCAACTATTTCACATTTGACCATGAACATCTATGACCACTGTTTCTATAATGATGCATCAGTGTTTTACATGTTCAACATACTGTAACAATCATGTAATGTAATTTTTTTCTTAAACAAATTACCTTTCCAAATCTCTACTAAACTTCATCTTCTGAAAATATCCACTTACTTTTTTGTGGGAATACTCTTGCCCAACATCTCAGACAGTTTGTTTATGACAAAGTCCCGATCCCCGACATCAATAAAGAGGAAGGAGTTGGTTGAGCTGGACTGTGTTGTACAGATGAACAGAGCACGTTTCACAGTTGCGTTTCCTTTTACGCTATCCACACGCTCTACACTGTGCACATCACGCAAAGGACATACCACACTCACTAGGTTGGCAATCTGTTATGGAAGGGGACATAGCATGATTTTGTTTCTGTTGGTGATGTTGTTGTTATTATATGTGTTGCTGTTGTTACTGATATAGGATGGTCTTTCACACTCACACTGATTAATAATATAGTATCAGTTATCAATTAAGATGTTCCATAACCAGTGAATATTGAATGAATTACTTTTACACATTTTATTCCTTTGTCATATGCCACTAAATACTTTTCTCAGATATTCAAAATACACAATTAAATCTCTAATCAAGATCTCACAGACATATTTTCCAAAAGCAAGTTAAAGACGTATAGGAAACAATCTCCACCAACAGCTGATATCTCGGCACAAGAAATAAAAATTGCTTGTCCTCACCTTGCTGTCGAAGCAGATATAGTTGAGGGAAATATATAAGGTTCCGCTGACGTAAACCTTTTTGTAGGGAGTCCAGAGGGAACAGGTAGTGGAACCATCTAATTTCTCACTCAGCGGTAATCTGCAAGAAAAGAAAATAATATACGGTGTCTCTTTACATGAATTTTGTGCATGGTCTTGATTACAAAGCACTTTATACCAATAATCTTGAAGCTAAATTGAATTTCTAAAATTTTAGTTCTATATACATGGAAATAAATAAAATAAAAAAATGATAACAGTGACGACGATTATTGATGATGATGATGGATGATAACAATGTCAATGGTTAATGATGATGATGATGATGATGATGTATGATGATGTATGATATATGCTGATGATGATGATGATGATGATGATGATGATGATGATGATGATGATGATGATGATGATGATGATGATGATGATGATGATGATGATGATGATGATGATGATGATGATGATGATGATGATGATGATGATGATGATGATGATGATGAAGATGAAGATGAAGATGAAGATGAAGATGAAGATGAAGATGAAGATAAAGATGAAGAGATGGAGATGAGGATAAGAAATGAGTGTGATCATGCATTAGTATTTCAATAAAGTAATCTGATTAGGTAACCAAAACTTCAACTGGTTCGCTAGACCATAACCTCACGTACTTACCTAAATTTACTACGGTACATGTCCGAATGAGCTCGAGCATCCAGGTCCCTTTTCAAGAATGATGGTTTCTTTGGTACTTTTTTGCTGAAAAGAGAGCGATGGTATTACTTGCATAATAGGGATAACTTAGCAAAAATGGCTATGAAGGATACAAGGGCTGGGAACATTCGAACAGATATCGAAGGATGCAAATTTTTCCTTCTTGTTTCTTAATAAATGGATATTCATGTTAGCTAGAGAGAGAGAAAAAAAAGAAAAAAGATGATAAGCTAAAATGTATATAAAATAATCTGGGGTAAAATAAAACAAATAAATAAATAATTAAAGCAACAATTTCAGAGTTATTAAATTATTTCAAGTGGATCGGGTAAAATTATGTCTTCCTATATATATCACCTGAGTACAGTGCATTTCTTGCTGTCATTATTTTCAGTTAGGTAAGGGACTTCATAGAACTGCATTGTTGAAAGTAGAATCGGACAAAAGTTACTTTCATATTTGTCTGGGAATTTGTGGGAGATCAGATACTATTTTCAACAATGTAGTTCTATGAAGTCCCTTACCCAACTGAAAATAATGAAAACAAAAAATGCACTGTACTTTAGTGATATATATATATAGGAAGACATCAGCTGAGAAGTCAAACTCCATTGTAACCAGAGGTGCACCTAGCATTCTGGAAGGGAAAGCAGGTTTGTACCAATGATTTTTATGAGGGGTGGGGGGCAAGCAAGGCCAGGGGAAGATTTCTTCTACTATCTACCCATCAAGCGAATAAATTTGCTGAAAGGAAGATCATTGGATGCTGCCTCTATCCTTTTATATTTTGAGAGATGCAACCCTCTACTGTGCAATCAAATAGAGCACTGGGAATGAGGAGGGAAAGTTCTTGTGACTCATGCTTTACCAATGTCACTGGTGAACTGGTCACCAACATACATTAAGATAACAGATCGGGATTTTAAGAGGGGGTACATGCACCCTTTACAGGTATATCTAGGCCACTGCATGACACAAAATTATGGAAAGATAAAGTATAGGTAATTGCAGATAGACAATTAAATACCATCAACACACAATACTTGCACTTAAATACTGAATGTAATACTAGTAAAATCCAACATGTCATAGAGGACACATACCTTACTTTAGTCAACAAATCCTTATCTTCTGTAAATTCTTCGTCATTTATTAACCTGAAAAACATGAAACACATATGATAAAATTGGATAGATGTTATACACACTATCTTACCATTCAAAATACTTCCAGACTGATCTTCACTTTCATTATTCATCCAGAAATAAAACTACCTTTATTCATCATTGATGAGTTAAGAACATAAACATCAAAGACATTAAATCAACAAAAAGCAATTCAAATTATTGTACAGTATGAACCTTTCAACTCTTATTCAACAAAAGGATGTCGTATCACACATAGCCCAAGTTTACTTACTGTTTCATTGCCATGTTTGCTAACTGTTCCATCAGTTCATAGGTTTCCTTCTTTCTCAAAAGCATTGAAAAGTAGTGCTTGAAAGAGAAACAGAAAGCAATTAGTACTTTATAATACATTCCCACAATTTCTTCCTCACAGTTTTTAAGATAACAAAGTGCTGTCATGCAATCTAAAAAGCAAAAAAACTTTTTCACAGGGTCAGCGCTGTGTCAAATATCTGATCACACGAGATACACATAAAATTTTACCTGCTTCTGCATGAAGATTCGACCATTACAGGGCATTTTGAGTTTTTGAATATTAAAACTTTCAAGTTCCTTAAAAAAGAGTGCAGACAAACTTAGATAACATCAGATTTTGTATTCACAAATATGATATATGCACACAAACACTGGGGTATAAATGCACAAAGTATTCATGAAGGTATGCGAGCCTAAAGGTGTTCACATACCAACTGACGGAAAATGAATTTATCAAAAGTTTTGTTAATTCAAATTTTCCTCTACGACATGAGCATTGATATGTTTGCATTAATACACTCCATCTCATGACTGTAGTGCATTAATGTGAACATATTGATGCTCGTGCTATATATGAAAGTTTAAATCAGCAAAACATTTGATAAATGCTTTTTCGGGCAAACACTTTGAGAACAACTTTAGACGTGTATACTGTCATATTTTCCTCTTTTACCTCACTTTCCGTTTGACCCTCATTTTCATTATCTTCATTTCAATCCTTCAATCTCTTATATCTATCTCTATTTACTACTATTTCTTATCACTTGATTCTCTTGTATCCACCTTTATTTCATATTTAGCCTTTTATTTGACTTGCCTCTTACCTTATGACTTAACATACTGGCCATGAGTTTATGTACTGTCATACAGTAGTTTTTTGTTTTTTGTTTTTTAATTCTATTGCAAAAAAAAAGTGTTCCGCTGCCAAGGATTCAATTAGACACTGCATTTGATTTTCCCATTTGTAGATTTTTTTTTCCCTAATGCTATTAATGTCGATACTATTATCATCATTACTATCAATATAATGCTATCAAATTACTAATAACAAAAATGATAATAAAATTTAAAAATAGAACCCTGTCAAAAATTGAGGAAAAAGGTAAATATGTGAAACAGGTCGGGTTGATAATTGACTCCTTGGTGCATAAGCATTTGTAGAGCCATCTGTGTAAACACAACTAAAAACTTAAATAACAATGGACATGGCATATAGTAATGCCATCTGTGGCATGAGTTAATCTATATCTTTCACTCCTTTACTGTATTATCTTTGGCTCAAGAATGAAAAAAAAAAAAAAAAAGTATAAAGGAACATTAAACGAACTTTATTTTTTTAAGAATCACATTCCAAGAATGCAGATCAATTAATCTTTTCAACAAAATATATATTGCTCCTCGACAAAAAAAAAAAATCAATATAATTGAAGTATGTATGTCCATTGAAAAAAGTATCATTACATCATAGCCAGAAAGAAAAAAAAGAAAAATATTTTTCTCTTCTCAATTTTTACCTTTCTGTAACACACACATAAAAATAATAATTTTTCTCCAAGTATCCTTCAATCTTACACAGTAAAATCACACTACATACACAAAATAACCCCAGTCATTCCTTACTGACGAGGGTAATTTCGAAGCAAAATAAACAGACAGTTTGACACACCAAACAGAATAACCATTGTTACAAATGAAATTAATTAAATTATTTAATTAACCACTTAATTAATGAATGCTAAAGCAACTGCAATTTACCTCATGATCCCTCGTTGAGACCCTAATGCTGTCGGGAAAGATCAGGGCATTGGTGCAGTCGAGCAGCGTTACATCTCTCCATCGCACAATGACCCGAGTCTCCTTGCCAAGAAGGAAGGAGTAGAAACAGAGGTAGTTCACGCTCAAGTACAACCAGCCTTGTCTGGGTAAGCGGTTGTGCCAATAACTGTGAAAGAGAAATATAGAGATGATTTCTAGGCAATAAACAATTTCATTGTCTGTGACAGTTATCAGAAGATTAAGTTCTGAAAGTCTATAAAGTTTCAAGATTAGTATGATAGAGATAACATATATCATTTCTTATTATTTGTCAAGACTTGATTCTTCTTTATAAGACAACATAATTAACCTTTATACAGAAGTGAACCTTTACAACAACCAAATAAAAATTATAAAATGTTACACAAGCAGCTCCATAAACTATCTGCACATTCTTAGAGAAAGATTTACCCTGAAAAATAAATCTATATATAAATCTACAACTTATGTGCTAATATCAGGTATACACAATATACAAGGATTTCTCGTACAAACCTGCAGGAATAGTAATTCACAAGCTTCTCCCCGTCAGGCATGTTGAATAGTTTCTTAAACTTGAACGAAACTGCCTTAAATGTCTCTGAATCTGGATCTACAAGAGAGAATCAAGAGTGCGACCATGTGTAAGCATTAGAATGTATGGGATTAAGGACTTGAAAGAAAAGCAAAATATGTCATAAGGCATAAAATACCCTCTGCAAAAGAGAAAAGAAAAGTCAATCAATCAAACTTCCTACACAAACTTACCAGGTGTGTTCTGTGGATCAATAATGGTAGAATTTGCCACAAGGGACTCCACCTTGCAGCGCACAAAATCTGTAATGTCTTCATCTTTGTCGAAGGTTGCCAAGATACTCATCAAGTTTCTCTCCAACCATTCCCAGTGTTCATCTATTTCTTCCTTCTTCAGTGCTACTGCCACAACTAGAAATTTTAGATTTTCATGTTTATAATGATAAACATACAATATTAGCTAACATTCTGCAAGATGTTTCATTACCAAAACATTGTCACTTAATTACTATTCTTTTGAGAGTATTTATCTAACTTGTAAAACAAATGTAGATAAAACAGTCAATTTTTCATATCTAAATGTCTGCCCCTATTGCAACTTGTTTTTCAATGCTTTCCTGGGTGTTCCATTCTCCCTCTCCTTTACTCAAACTCTTGTTACTTTCAATGTTACTCTCACTCACACATTCCCACCATCTCTTATCCATACACATACATCATCACACTTTCTCCACTCACTCACTCCTTCCTATCCCCACTCAAACCTTTTCTCATTCCCTCACTCTTTTTTTACATCCTTCCATCACTATCTACCACTAGTATCAACACTCATTCTCATATACTCACTGTAATAGAGTTCTGAAGAGGGGGTCTGGTGCAGTATCCGAAAAGGTGGTGGCTTCGTGTCAAAAACGGAATCCAGTGTGCCGATGAGGAGCCCAGCAAGGCCACGTGAGGAGGCATTGCCGGATCCCTTGCGTTGCTGGAGAAGGAAGTATGTGTTGGCCCCTTCTGTGTCCCTGTGAAGATGATCATCATGGAGATTATACTCAACTTTGCAGGAGGAACAAGAAGTAGGGAAGAGGGAAAGGAGGAAGGTGAGGAGGATGAAACAGAGGAGGAAAGAAGGGAGAAGGAAAGGGGGTACGACATACAGAGGATGAGAGGAACAGGGAAGGGGCAATAGATGAAAGGAAGAAGGGAAGAAGGAAGTAAGGGTATAGAAAGGGAGTGTTGGCCCCTTCTGTATCCTTGTGAAGAATGCTTGAGGAGATAATCCATGTCCTTGTAGCAGGAACAGGAAAAGCAAACGGGAAGAAAGGAAGATTAAAGGAGACAAAGCAAAGA